GAGAAGGGAGGGATCGCGTGAGCGGCGAATTCAAATTTTAGTGCTTCTCGGAGGTTATCTGCGCTAAAAAAAATTGATTCGATAATTTTTCATGCGTTTTTTTATGAAATTCATAAACTCCAAACAATTAATTATATTCAAGCAAACAATATATAAAACCATCAAATTTTTGATCGCAATAATAATAAAAGAAAAAAAATAATCTGTGACTATTTGTTTAAAGTTATTCACAGTAGCAAACAAAATCATCTCTCTAACATAACTTTTTGTGTTTTTAAATTCAACCTCGGACGTAGGCTGTAGAATTCATATTGTAAGTGTTAGTTAAAATTCGCAGTGGAAAATTTCTGGCCATTTTGATCAGTGAATTTTTGACTCTCTCTCTATCAGGTTAATTTCGAAAAATAACTTATTATTTTGTTGTTTATTGGACAAAATTATTTCGGTTTTTAATCATTTATTTGATTTTGATTTTTTTTTTAGTTTTGCGATCTTTAAAACTTTGTTAGAATCGTGAACTTATGATAATTTCTTGCCTTCGAATTTTATGTTGATTTTATTCAGTCTGAGGCTTGCATGACCTCGAAATTATTTGTCTTGAATTTGTCTCCGTTTGCTTTCCATTTTTCACCTTAGTGTTTCGACTTATTAAATTTATCTTGGCAATAGCTTTTAAAGATTTTCTGATTAAAATTGAATCAATTAATTAATTAATTAATTTTGACTTTTCTCTGACCTGTAGCAATTGAGTCTTGTGACTCAGTTGTTAACGATAATTTATTTCATTAATTCTGACTTCAATTTGAATAATTTAGTTATTCATTTATTTTTTATTTTAAATTCATGGACTTAAGAAAACTGTGATATTAAATTAACTAGAGGCTAGTGCCTTTTGCCAATTAAATATTGAAACTTTGTTAGTAAGGCGTACTCGTCATCAAACGGGATTTTATTAATTCTTTTATATATTTTTATTGTATCGAGATTAATTGATTTCAATAAATATGATAACCCACTCACGTTCCCTTTTAGCTTCTAACAACAATTAAATTTCTACGTATCAAGCTGCTACAGCCATGAAATCTTTGAATGGAGAAGGATTTCGAGAACGATCATTCCGTCTAATGACCTGGCGTCTAACAAGTCGGCTTTTTTTTTGGTTTCGGGGTTGTTGGTGCCAGAGGGCCGAAATACCCGAGTGGAAACCGCCCCAGTCCACCCTGATGCTGGATCAGTACTTGACCCGGAAAAAGTTAGGTTTCCCTGATCAGGTTATTCCTGATGAGAAACTGATCAAGATTTGATCCAGTTCCTTTCATACAAAATTCACAAGGTTAATTCCAATCAGGTTTTGATATGGTTGACATTTGTGTAGCCTGATCAGGAGATCCATGATGGGGAATTGATCAAGAATGGATCCAGTGCCTCTGATCCCAAGTACTTAAGATCGATTCTAATCAGGCTCTGCCGTGGTCGGCATTAGTCTAGCCTCATCAGGGTATTCCTGGTGGAGAATGGATCAAGACTGCATCCAGTGTCCCTGATCACAAACACTTACGGCAGATTCTAATCAGGTTCTGCTGTGATAAGCATGAGCTGAGTCTGATAAGGGGTTTCTGATAAAAAACTGATCAGGATTCGACTCAATCTCTCTGATCTAAAATATTCACAGCAGATATTGATGAGGTTCTAATGTGGTAGGCCTTAGCCCAATCTTAATCTGCTCAATTGAATTATTTCATTATCTAAGGGCATATTTATTTTTTATCGTCTGTGAATTTTGAATTGATGGCCCCAAATGTAGTTACTACGGCGATTAAAGATGTCACTAGTGACTGGCGCCGTTGCTCCATTTTCGCTGTATCGGTGTGGATCTGGAGTGTAAGAAGAGTAAATTAATTTCAACAAATTTCGAGTAAAAAGGTCAGTTACTAGTGATCATGAGTAACAACAAAAATAGTGCAGCTCATGCCAAGGAACTCACCAGATTACGAGTGGAGAGACATCGAAAACGTGCACGGATAGATGATACTGATATTGGTGCCTCTACTTCATCTGTCCACATTGACAGCCCAATAAATATTGATTCCGATGAAGAAGAGTACAGTTCTCTCGAATTCAGTACTGGTCAAAATGAACCTGAGAATTTCGATTTAAATATCTCAAGCGAATTTCGGGAACTCGAGAAATCCTTGAGATGGAGTTGGGACAGCCGGAAAAGTAAACCAGACGATTTTAATGAGAGTGTAGCCGATTATAATGAGGGGACAGTTAGTGAAGATAAAGAGAATAGGTTTATCTGCCAAGATAATACTGCATCGACAGATGAAGAATCTGTAGAAGAACATACTGAATCGGATGAAATAGAGGAGCTACATCAATGGGCGTTAAACGCGAAAAGCCTTACCCACAACGATCTGGATGGTCTTTTGAAATAGTGTGCAAAATATAAGTACCCAACGATTCCAACTACCTCAAAAACATTCCTCAAAACCACATCAGGGCAATATGATATCAAGACATTCAACAATCAAAATGACAGTGAGTATGTCTACTTGGGGATAAGTAAGCATTTGACAAACACGATTAATCATAAACTGCATCCCGATCATAAAATTGCACTACTTATTCATCTGGATGGTTCTTCGCCATATAAATCGAGCAACAAACAGTTCTGGCCAATTCTGGGCAAAGTTTTCATTCATGAAAACTTGTATCAAGTATTCCCCATTGCTCTCTATTGCGGTGTTGAGAAGCCAGAAATATTTACCAATTTTTGGAAGGTTTCGTTGAGAAAGTGAACAATTTAATGAACAATTGTCATTGGCGGTCAATCATTTGAGGTCAGCATAAAAGCTTTCATTTGTGACAGACCTGCCCGTTCATTTGTAAAATGCATAAAAAATCATGGAGCAAAACGGGCATGCGGACGCTGTACTGTTCAAGGAGAAAGAGTTGAAGGTTGTATAGTTTATCTCTCTACGGAAGCTACAGAGCGAACTGATCAAGCATTTCGGAGTCAGCAGGATCCTCTCCACCATGACGGTGTTTCACCTTTGCTTTTTATCAATCCACCAGTCGATACTATTAAACATTTCGTTTTAGACGTGATACATCTGCTCTGGTTAGGTGTGATGAAGAAATTCTTGGTGGATATTTGGATGAACGGAAATCGGACAATTAGTCATGCTCAAAAAACTCTGTATTCGTCATATTTGCTGAGGATGAAGTCTCAAGTTCCTCGAGAATTGCAACGTTCAACAGCATCGTTAACTGATCTGGGCAAGTGGAAAGCCACGCAGTTCCGATTCTTAGCTCTATACGCAGGACCTGTATTTCTGAGAAAATGCCTGGAGGAAAAATTGTATAAACATTTTTTGTTATTCCACGTGGCTTGCCGAATTTTGAGCTGTAATGACCTGGCAGTCACGCATAATGCCCAGCCAAAGAAGTTTTCGAGAATATTTGTGCAACTGTGTGAGGAATTATACGGTAAATTCACCTTAGTATTGAATGTTCATAGTTTACTTCATGTAGCTGATGATGCTATGTTCGCTGAGTGCGATTAACGCGTTTCCATTTGAAAGCGCATTGGGACAAATGAAAACTATGTTGAGAACTGGATATCGTCTACTACCTCAAATCTGTCGTCGAATCCATGAGCAATTTTTCGTCAATACTCCAAAACCTGAGCCATCATCTGCTCTTCAAATCTTATCTCAACTTCGTCCGGACTCATCTGGGAGAATAACAATTAAAAAAATTAAATTCAACAACTGTATTGTGGCTAGCAAAACTCCAAACAATACAATTTTATTAAAATCTGGTGAGATCATTAAAATTGATGATATGTTCATTACACCAACTGATCCTCGCGTCGTTAGAATATCTGGAAAATCATTGCATGTAAAAAAACCTCTATTAGATTATCCATGCGATTCGACGAGCCTGAAAATGTTTTGTGTGTCAAGGAGACCAACCAAAGAAATCCATTGCAATGTGGAGGACATTCAGCACAAGATGGTTACTCTCGACATTAGCACAGCTGAGAAAGAAGAAGTTTATACGATGCCACTCCTCCATTCATGAGCTTGATGATTTAATATAATATGTTCTCTCTCATGTAATACCAGTAATTCAACAAAATTATTGTGGCTAAACATTATTTTGCGATTATTAATAAATGATTTTGATTCATTGGGCATAATGGATGAGATATTAAAAACGGATATGTATATCTCCCTAATCCATTTCCTTTTGATCGTTTAATTCATAAATTGTAATACTGAAATTTAAGGTGGAGAAAAATTGACGAGAGTGAGAAACAATTATGAGATTAGGATGCTGATTTCTCAGTTGATGGCTATATGGCTTCCAATAATGTTGACAGTGGAGTGAAATTATTGAATTTGGAAGAAATCTGATTCAATTTGAGTCTTAGCACATCGTTTTACCATGAAAGCGACAGACTAAAATTTGTTTAGGTAAGAGGAAATGTATTCGTGTTGATATCCAGCAAAACATAACCTGTATCCAACCAAACATAACGTACTTGAACATTCTCTAAATGAACAGACACTTGAAATTTACTTTTCTCCGACAGTTGAATTCATTTTTCAGTTTCTCTCACAGTTGAAATTGATTTTTCTATGTACTAAACTCATAACAGCTGCACAAAACACTAAGTAAATAACTATATAACAAAAACATTTTCGTAAGACATCTCGTGTAAAGAAGTGATCCTGAATAAGTGTGTGTACGTTTCTGAGCGTCTCATGAAGCAGTTCATTTATGCCCGTGTACCTGCCGGCACAACAGGACATAATCATCAAGTGTGACTTCTTGAAAAAAAAAACGTTAGCCATCTATCGATATATTTTAGAGTGAGAGATTGAAGGGATCCTGTAAAGTTCTAACGATATTCATTGACTTGATTCGACAGCAGGAAAAAAAATATATTATTAAAACAAAATATTATTTCGTGTGTGCACGTGCCAGAGTTTCGGATTGAGGCGAGTTCATACGTGTTCCCATGCCGGCTGGCAGAAGAGAAGCATGACGCAACGTTGCTTTCCCGAATATATTTGATTTTAGGAGATTTCAGAAGTCATCAATATATAAAAAATGGATTCAATTCCAACGAGCAACAAAGATAAATTTCAGTATCAGTTTAGTGTCTGTGTCGAGTGTCGCGTCTACGTGTCCTTGAGTTTTTCCGACTCGAAGTGCAGTTTTCCACAAATATTCCCGGTTGTGTTGTTCCCATTTCAACGGACGAACAATGGACAAAATGGTAAGTTCAATATTAATCAATTTGCCAAAAGTATCATGAATTATTTGAAACACATGAGTCTAGGTGCAGAATTGACGCCGCGTGAGAGATTTTGTTAAATTGTTAGGTTAGAACCACGAGGATCCATGTTGTTCTTTCTAAATACGCTAAAGATTTTTTCATTTTTCCGATGACGTCTAATATCAAAACCTGATTACACATTAAGAAATTGGCCAAATATTAATTTACTAGTAGTTTTTACGAAAACATCTCGTCAAGCTAGTGATTGCGAGACAATCTTAGATTTCAATTACCTCACCCATACTACTCTAGAGGATGATCCTGTTAGTTGAATGGAACCCCTTGAATGGTCTCGTTTCGTAATTAATGATTTGTTCCAAATTTCATAGTTTTATTGAAAAAAAATTTCGGTAGACTTTCAATTCTAATAACGATTGAGACAGTTCACTGAAGGTAATAACTAACCTGACAATCCTCTAGAGTAAAATAATTCTTTACGAACTCAATCAAGATTGCCTCACAATAACTGAATTGGCAGAATTCGTATTCGTAAAAATAATAATTTCAAGTAAATGCATATTTGCCAAAATCATTTTTTTCTCAATTCACGCACTATAAAATCTAATGGAATCGATCAAAATCCTTTGCGAAAGGAATATGATCTTGAGTATGTGACAGTACTGGCGAGGTGGTACAGCATCTATTTTCGTGGAATTTCCCACAAGCATTTGAATAAAATAAAAATGCATATTTAATCATTAATATTGATTATTGAAAATTATTTTTGCAGGGGAACTTCCGAGGGAAGGAATACCTGTATTATTTGGTGCATTTTCATGAGGATGAGCAGGAAGGTGTCTTCGACATTGCTCTGAATGGATGGATAACGTGGGTCGCTGACGTCCAACAATTCTTCTGTAAATTCCATACAGGTAATAATGAGGAGGAGAAAAAATTGGCGAAGAAATTGCTGAACCGCTGCAAATCACCCCCGAGACAATGGAGAAAATATCCCATAAAAATCAGAGGAGGAGCAGGTGAGGAAAATATTTTTGGTAATATTTTTATTCAGTGTTGCGCATTACTCCCTACAGTGAAAAAAAGGGTAATTTGAATGAAATAAAACTGTTTATTCGTTTTTTTTTTCAGTTGTTCCAATGCAATTTTTTATTAAAATTAAATAAACTTGTTTATTTATTTTGATGAATAATATTCGTTTGAAACACATCTATACTTCACATTACGAGATTAAAACAAAGGAATTGTTACAGAGACTTATAAAGTAGCATTGGAAAGTCTGAAGAAACTGGAAGATCGACCATATGCATTCTCCACGTCAGATGAATCGTATGCTCAAGGTCAGATTAATAAGCTAAAGAAGAAATCGCTTAAAAAGGAAGTTCCAGCCAGTGAGGAAGAAATTGGATCACTCTTCTCTGCAGCTGCAGCTGCAGAGACAACGATGAAACTCAGTTCTCCGGATCGGAGGACAACATAAACACAAGTCTTGCAGGTTCACCAAGTTTCCGACAGATCGATCGATAGCTTTCTCGCTCAAGAGTCCTCCCTTTCTTCTCGAGAGAGCGGAGGTCTAAATCGTCTTCTCCTCCTCGTACTTTCGATTCGTTTTCATCACAGGACCGGAGAATGAATAAGAAAATCATTTGTACATTTTAATTTTATCCTAGTCTATCACTTCCCGTCAAAATTGTCAGATTTATCTTTCTAAATTTTGCATTTTTTCAATGTTTAGCTTCACAGAAACGTCCAAAAGGAAAATGCCACCTCTTTTGGAGGGATACCCAATTTCTCCAGAACGAAGAAAAAATCAATCAAGATCCGAAGCCTCCACACCAAAAGGGAGGAAACATCCGGAACATATTAAAGCTATCAGAGATGAGAGGAAGTCGTCACAGATCGTCACGCACTCTCAATTTTTCGAGTCCGTCAACACCTGTCAACATTAGCCCTCACCAACCAGAATTTCAAAGGTCGAACGATATCCCTCCGGAGGGGAATACACAGAAACAACTAAGAAATTTGACATCAGCGATGGGTCAAATTCAATCGCAATTAGTCAAAGTCCTTTCAGCCCTTGACGACGTGAAAGGTATGTTCAGCGCAAATTCTTTATTACCTGCCGATCATGGACCACTGATTGATTTTCACGATCATTATTGTGATACTCAAGAAAAATTAGAGATTTTCGAGGAAAAACTGCATTTCGAGTTTCGCAACATCATTGTAAGTTCATGGAAAAAACTCTATTTATGCATGGATTGTTTTCATTTGTATACTTGTAAAAAAGTACGTACTGAGAGAAAAATTTACTTTCGGCCAGAAAAATTTCTCCAGATAAGAATTCATGTCCTTGTTTCAAAATTTTATACATCGAAATTTTTGTTTTTAACGAATGTACGTATTTATTTATGATATTTACATTGCTATCTTTTCTTTTGCAGTGTCATGGAATTAAAACGAAAATTGATTTAAAATCCAAGTTGCAGTATAGTATTGGGCGAATTTTAAGAGCTCTAATGCCCACGAGTGTTCTCGATCAGTATACTGCCCAAAAGAAAAAAGGAGAAAAAAAAAATTATTGATTTACAGTTATGGAAATGTATCAAAGGTATTTTTGACCATTTAATTTTTTTTTCAGATTCACAAAAATTGAAATATTTTTTCACGCAGTTTTATATTGATAATAAAACATTGACGTCTTTTATATATGTTTTAGAGATATATTTTCGCCTAAATTATCACTTCTATTTTCAGTGCAAATAGCTGAAGAAGCCCGTTCTCAGGGATTAGCACCATTTAAAGATACTGATTTGAACTTGGGCCCGAGTAACGCAATCAACAACTACAAAGATTCCACGAAACTACGTGATGGTGGTGAGCAGGGCGCAAAATAAATCAAGATATTATGATAGTTAGGTATATAGTTTGAGAAATCGTATGTTTCTGAGTATTTTTACGTGTTCAACTAATATAAGTGACTAAAAAATCTTAAAAATAAAACATTGTATTACCAAGATGATTCAAAAACTTCAATAAAACCACTGAATGAAATGAAGTAAAGTATCGGATACCTGTTCCAATTTACTACTGCAACGATTGATTTGAATCGGATCACGCCGGCATCATCCAATTGAGAACCAGCCGCCTGAATCAAGACCAAAGCCGGATACTTGATTAAGCTTAAAGCAATTGCGCCCGATCAAGTCTGGAGCAATTGGGACTGGTCAAGTCCAAGGCCGGAAACTTGATCAAGCCTGGAGCAATTGGACCCGATCAAGTCTAGATTAAAAACAGCGTTACATCCCTGATTCGGCCCTGATCAGGTCATCACATCCATCCCTGATCAGTCTTCAGGCCTCACTTGATCCAGTCCTGCGTTGAACTTGACTGCAATTTCCACTCGGGTAACGGAAGGAAAATCCCATATTTCCCCGAATGACGTTACAGAAGATAACTATTGCACTCTCTATAGAGTGTTGATATTTTTCATACGGTGTACCTTGTTGTTCTTCACCATAATGTACTCTCATATTGAAAAATTAGCTCAATACCGCGCAATAGTTGGGAGGAGCCCGTTAACAAACTTTCTCAGTAGTTTATGCATAGAGAGGCACTGTATGCGTAGCGGATATGTTTATTCATGATGCTGTTGCTATGTTATCCACTCTTCAACTACTCAAATATATCTCACTTTGTTGAAATTATCAGAGTTTTCCCATCTACTATTGACTTAGGAAAGCATTTACTTATGCAATATCTGCCTGAATTTTAAGGGAGGGAATCGAAAAGTGCCCAAGCTATCAAAACGACTATTACTTTTAGGGATCCCATCTCCTACCGATTGTCGCACTCAACTAGGCCATTGAAGAAGAGACGCAATGTTTCAGGTCAAAATTAAAATTCTTTTAGTTACGACCATTCTTACGTTGATTATTGTTTTTTATTGTTCCGGAAATAAATTACGAATGTCCACAACTCAATATCATTGACATCGAATTGATTTTTGGACTTGTTAGGACGTGAAAATTTTATCAAGTAATCCTGTATTTTTTTCCACTCATATACACCCTTATCATGCATAGAAAGTGACTTACTTATGAATTTCTTTCATTATAGATAAACCAAAATTTCTGAGATGATGAGGAGTGATAGAACTTTGCCTGACAATCACAATCCATGGAGAGAGGAGACAAATATAATGCGGAAGCAGTTGACATACTAACGATTTATAAGCATTTGTATGCCACGTCAGCAGCACCTGACGTTAACCAAAAAGTTAATATTGAAATTGTAACTTGTTATTTTTACTCTACACAGCTAAACCATATCAGTAATTTTTTTTTATGGAAGAAATTCAGCTATGCTTGGTATTCTGTGGCGTTATCAAAGAGTTATTCTGAGATGTAATATTATTCGAAATTTATACAGGTTCTTGAGCGTTGAATAACAATTAATCAACTTTATCACAAAGTTTTCCTACCTCATCTAGAGGACATCCTGCTGAGACAAGAAGTGCATGACTGTGAAGTAGTAAAAGCCTCAGAAGTTTATCTCTAACTTCGGCAGCTGGACTGGGGGGCGGTGGTCTTGATCTGTAGATTTGTATCTTTAGGGTTGCCACTGTTGTTAACTCTGCGAGGATTTCAGCAACGGTGCGGGTAGGTTCGTCGGCCACTTTTTCCACCGGTAAAGGTCGCCAATTTTTTACGATTATACTGCCACGAGCGCTGGGAATAAGATCTGTAGTGTAGCCAAGACGTACTAAGGCTTCAGCTACTAAGTCCTAAGGTAATGAAAATATAATCTGTCTTCATTTTTATTCATCGAAATTTTCATAATAATCATCAACTATTTTGTTTAGCCGTACAAAGGTGCTCATTGTAAAGCCGCGACGTCTGGACTGATTCATAAACATTTCATAAAAAAGCTTCCAAGAATATGTTTAACAAGTAAATATTATTACTAGAAAAATTTTATTCCACGTGTATATTCTTAGATTTGTCATTTTTTTCCCTTCCGCGACCCCCCAGCCTTCTACTGTACATAAGCCGAGGATTGACAGGAGAACCTCATGGGAAATACCGTTGTCCTGGCACAGTCGTGCAAGTTAGAGTGTTCTAAAACCGTTAGGCTTCTCCATGATCGTAAATCGTCGTCGTTATACCTGTTATAGAAGACTACGCAGATGAAATCATAATAGTATAATTCGATACAAGTGCGATCGGGTGGCAGAGAGTGTGGAGTGTCGCAAGTGTATTTTTTATTAGTGATGCTACTACGTCCAGTGAGTGCCGAATTGTGTCATTTTTCGTTTATATTAGTGAAACGTTTCGAAAAAGGTAATTTTCCTTTATACTTCTGACTGTTCGTTTACAAGTAAGATAATAGTAATTTATGCTACAAGGGCTGAAAAGTATTTTGGGAACGTATTTTGTCAATTGTGATCCAACATGTACGTTAAATATTTTTCAGACCGTGTGGGAGAGGCCCGACTGACCGAGTCTTGTTACTGCCCAAGGGAGGTACCAAAGGCCATAAGCGACTCCTTACCTCCCTACGGCAATAAAAGTGCGAGGTTAGGGCATGCAGAGTGACATAAAAGGCAGCTTTCGACACGAGCAAAACATACCAGCAGAAAAAATACAAAATTATTGATATTAAATTGTTATCAATGTATTGATATTTATTATACTATCTATTATTTAATGAAGAAAAAATGGAAAAGTAAATGTTCGATAATAATTTAGGATTAAGAAAAAATTACTGTAAGACAATAATGCATAATAAAATGTACTGCAAAAAAAGGTAATTCTTTTTATTTTTGTTTTTGAAAAAATTCACATGCATGAAAAAAATTTTTTCATTAAAGGGTCGATCTATAATCAATAATCTTCTTTAGGGAAGGAAGGTAGAGATGGTAGATTCATTATCAGAATGGGCGAAAGAAAAAGTTAAGAAGAAATGGCTTTGGAAAAACCCAAATTTTTTTTGGGAATCATCGACCATTTACTCCCTCTTTAATTAGGTCCTCAGGTATATGATAACCAATGGCTACTTGACTTAAATGGTCGACCACCAACGATGGAGAGTCTTATGGATACGGGATGGCGTTACCAATGGGCGTCCATAAATTGGTCAAACACCATTTGAGAACAATCGTTTGCGACCTTTTGAAATATGGCATTGGAAATATAGGTAAATGTAGTAATCCATATAACATTCTCCAACATTCTCAAACGTCTGGAAATTTATTATATGATTGGGTCCACATAGAAAATTCGATTTTTACAACCAGTACTAGTTACCTATACTTGTATTGTTTTAGACGATTCTTGGAAGGATATATGAACCCACGTTAATCATCATTTTTGACAAATAAAATCACATTTCATGATACGATTGTGCCGCCAAATTATATAAAACGGTAAGTGTAAGCTTTTGAAATGCAGATGTTTGCTGACTGTCCAGTTTCGTTTCCTTGATCCATAACATATTATTATTCATGTCACTCAAAACTATTGAAACAACTGATTCGCATAAGATTTAATTTAGTAAATTGAGGTCGAAATTACTGTGGAATATTTCCAATAATCCGATATAACATCCGACAATAATTTCCTAACCTATACCTAATGCGGTTTATAGGTATGGTGATTAATATAGTTGGTGTGTTCTTTGGTATTCGTTATTGACGTTTTGTTACCTGTGTTAACTCGTAACGTCCGGATTATTATAATTACTATTTTTTACAAAAAAAGATCGACCAATCTCCTTAAAAGAGTCGAAAAAATCAATAATAGACTTTTTTAGGAGTCTAAATATTTTTTCACGCATGAGAGGTTAACATACCGAGCCGAAGGTAAAAAAAAATTGAAATAAATTAGGGATTTCGACAGAAAAAATCTTGATAGTGCCAACCAGGATTCGAACCCGGGTCTTCTAGTCACGGGTCGAAGACTTTTCTTTAGAATATGTTCATTTAGGTCCTTGAACTATACAGCAGTGACAAGACATAAAACGAACTTCTCGAGAAAAACAAGCTTTATGAGTATTCAACAAACATGGTATGTTGAAAAAAGTGGGCTATATTGAGGCATCTCACCGTTCTTCAAGATCTATTATAGTTGCAAATTTTGAAGATAAAGTATGTTGTTGTTTTGTTTGAATAAATTCAAGTTCTAGGTATTTCAACTTTTTGGCGTTGTTTGTGTGGAGAATAGTACTTGACCATAGGAAAAAACCATAGTTGAACTTTAGAGTTCGAATTAAAGTGACTACTGTTTACAAATCTTTACGAAGAGATGGTATGGTTGACGGGGAGTCATCTATCGCAGTCATCTATCTCTGGTTTCTGCTTGGCAATTAGGTCGATGGCTGATGCCATCGGTATTCTTGCCGTGATTATCCAATCCTGTTTTCGGCTCCGTTATGTATTTGCCATCTTCGCCCAGTCACCAGCATTGAGGTTTTCGATGAATGCTGTCCAACGAGTCACTTTTTGGTCGCTGTAGAAGATCGCTGTAAGGAGCTTTGGTATGTTGCATCTGCTTTCTTTCACTGGGATTGTTTTGCCGCGGGGAACCTCGGTAGGCGATATATCCTCAGAGTGTTTTGAACGTTCTGGATTAGGCCAAGTTTACCCAAGTGTTTAAAAGCTTGGGGTTGCACATAGCTAGTTTCAGTAGCCAGGCTAGTTTTTATCCTGTTATTTTGATGAGAAAATTGTCAACTCTAGGCATATGGGCTTTGTTGTACAGGGTTTGATTGCAGACCATATGGGTGTACTGAGAGTATACAGATTTGTCCATGTAGAGTACAACTCCGATACTTTACCATTCCAGTAATTGCATTTTTTGAGCTACAGAGTCGGACATCTTCCACCAGACATATGGTTCGGGCGCGGTGTGAGATGACCTGGTTGGAGAAGAGTCGGCACAGTTATTGGAATCGGTTTGATGCCTTTCCGAACATATCAATTTACTGAGAGCAGCGACCAAGATGATCAATGTCAATTCCAAGATATCTGCCTAATTGTTTGATGGGCATTGTGACTTGTTCTTTGGTTGGCTTGAATGTACTAATTTTTAGTGAGTTAATTCTGGTTCTACTGCATATCTTCATTGCTTGAACTGGTCGTGGTATCAAAATATTCTCGCAATTGAGAAGGTTCATTCTTAAATTCCACATAGCATAGTACGTGCTTATGTTGTTGACTACTGCTTGTAGAGTGCGCATGGATATTTTTAACACTGTGTTCTGTTATGTACACTATCAAGTCATCTGCCTAGGCAATTGAGTGGGTGTTGAGCCCAAAGGAGTTGAGGATATCACTTGTGAAGATGGAGAAGAAGCAGCAGGAGTTAACAATGCCATGCTGAAGGCTTTCGACAATCGAGAATTTTTGGCCGGAGATGCGCGTTCCGTTTGTCGTGTAGAACAGGGCCCGGCATCCTTCAGGTAGTCGGGAGCCAGCCTATTACTAGGGTCGGGATAATCCTCTCATCCTAATGAGTACCCAATTAGACAACCATTGGGAGCGAATAAGTCCCAGCAGTGACAATATTGCTGCCAGCCACGTAGAATGGCGTGCCAGTCGCATAAAAATGGCTGACCCGCCAGAATTGGCGCAAATTTTCAGTTTCAAATTTTAAATAAAAAATAGAAAAATTAAAATTTACAATGAAAAACCCTCAAGAATATATTTAGGAATTGGTTTTCGGTAATTATTATTTTCCTACCAAATAATGCCACTCTAAGTGTGAAAAATAAACATTTGCCACGGTTATTTTTGGAAGATTCTATTATATATTAGATTATATTCCTGATGGTTTTTTTCATCCCAATTTCAACCAATCAAATGCTGGCATTTTTCGTCACGTCGTACAAGTAAAACCGTTTTACTTGGGATATTTTTCGAATATTTCCTCGTTTGTTGCTAAGCAATGACAATATCCAATAAACAATTGGTACGCGTTTCAAACCCCAAAACTGTCATTAGAAAAAATGAAGTTCAAAGACTTTACCTCGACATGAGCCGATTTGAAGGAGAATCCTTGGACATTATTGATCAACAAATTGAAAAAAAATTGAAAATTGAGATTTCCTAATGAAACCGTTTTACTGTTACCATATGAAATGTCACACATTTAATTGCTTGAAATTGGAATGAAAAAAAAATCCAGCCAAGTCCCCCTCGACCTTGAAAATTAATCGGATATTTCCCGAGAGTTTCGTTGCGTATTTTATTTGTTTCATTGCTGCAAATATCGTCTGGAGACAAAATAATTGTCAAGGCAGATTCCTCATCATGAAAACATCGAAAAAATAATTTTTCCTCATATTGCTGCCTATTTCGAATAAAAAAACTTATATTTATAATTCAAATTGATGGAAAATCAAAATTCCCGCTCGATCGCACGGTGGCCCTCTGCCGGTATCGGTCGCACCAGAGCTCAAGCAGAGAGAGATATCGAATTAGAGCAGGTAGTTTTGTTAAGTGGATGAGGACCCTCTCCCAGCTCTGACTAAGGAAGCTCGGTTGCCGGGCCCTGGTGTAGAATAAGCGGGAATCATGTCCCGAAACAGTTTCACCAGTTTGTCTGAGAACTTTTTCTTGAGGGTGAAGATTAACCCGTCTAGCCATACCGAGTTGAACACTATTTCCAAGTCTATGACAGTTGCGCCTATCATGACCTTGAGGTAGAGATCCTTATTGGCACTTGCACGGAATTTATGTATGACATGTGTGGTGGAATGATAGTGGCAGAACCCAAATTGGTTGTC